ATCTGATTAATTAAAATGACTCCTCCTATGAAAGCGGCGATCAAGACTGCATTGGAATTGAAGAAAGCGGTCAGCCAATTCAAATAATTAAAGGACTCGCTACCTCAAAGTTGCGCACTCCAATCTTCCATCGCAATCCTGCGATACGCAGTGGGTGCGGCGTGTGCGACGCCGTGACAAGGGAGAAGTTCCCGGACCCCGTCACGCACCCCGACATCACGTTACAAGTTGGTGCCATCACTCAAACGCGAAAACATGCTTTGCAAAGCGTTAGCCGTCTTGTTAGCTCCCCAAAAACTATGATGAAAAATGTATGTGACCCACAGTGAAAGCTCACCTCACTCCAACCTGGACTGAGTTGACAGGATAAAACTGTGGGGACTTTGCGTATTAAATATAACTGATCAGCATTAATAAATAGTGATGGCAAATCGAATGTTTCTGAAAGCAATAATGTGAGGAAGTGATCATTAATGAGAGTTTATAAATACATCAATAAACTGTATCCGACTTACGTGATCGATATTCACTAATCGCGTCGGATATGAACAAAACTGCTGTCACAGTTAATATTCGGAATATTTTCATAGTCTGTAGTCTTTGAAGTCATTGCCTCAACGTTGCATGAACCTGGCACAGAGTGGAATTATCTAAGGAATATTGGCTTTTGAAAAATGAAGTTTTTCACACAAAATAATTTTTGACATTAGTTCGTCGAAACTAGGAGAAACGAAAATTTGGAGATGAAATCCACAGTATATTAGAAAATATTCAAGAAATAATCCAATTTCAATGACGACGGCCAATACACTCCACCCCTTCTTAGGTAGCCCCACTTATTCCTTTTGTGTGTACTATATACGTGATCAATCTCAGATGGAATCGCAATTCAGGCTGGATGTAGTTATGATTAGCTAAACTATGACGAACAACACGACAACGTGACAAACTGGTTCATCTCATCATAAGATCTGCATTATTGGACTCATTTCCAGAGCAACTTCCCTTGTCACGAGAGAACTATATCGCCCATTGTTCTGTCGACCAGCGATCTGCTTGAAGGATCGGAAGTGACGCTCGCTTCACCCCTTTCACTAGCCATTGTAGTCCAGTGCACCATTCTCACTCATGGGCATGCTATTCTTTTTGTTTTCGACTTTCATAAGGTTGCCTGGTCATCGAGTTAGGAGCAAGTCAGGTGTTCGTTCGACGTCCCGAATGATCCATTCAGTGATCTTCCCTGGTCCAACAGTCATTACAATCAATTTGTCGCTTGTTTGCATAAGTACAAAGCTTGTGATGTGATCCGAGTCGTATGGGCGCCGGTTGATACAATGATATAAACCGGGCGTGAGATCTTCTCCTCGGACCGTTTGTCGCGATGCCACGCTGACCGCATCCCATGGTATCGCAGATATTAGATAGTTGATTGGAGTGCGCAATAAGTGAATCATGTTTGCGAAGCATGGATGGTAATCGTTTGTCTTCAAAAGGACTTCAAGAAAATACTGAAGAAATGATCTGAATAGGGCAATAAATAAATACATACTTACATACGTACATGCAGACATAGACACATATATACATACACACATGCATACATTGCATACACACATACACAAATACATATCCATCAAGCATGTGGCTCAGATGAATAGGACACTGTAGGATTACGGTAGCACGAAGTAAGTCTACAATTGGGTGCGAAGGTTAGTTATACGGTAGTACACCTAAGAGTTTCAAAATTACGGTGCTTGACGACAAACCCTCGATAGCTTCTACAAAGTTATGTTTATCCGATATCAGCTTTGTCCGCATAAATGTAAGCGTGGCCCCTTCAAAGATTTGACCACAGTTCCTCGAGAGTCTCTAACCAATTTCTTCTGAATTCTGTGATGTTTTCGAATAAGCTTATGGGTGTTTGTTCATAGGTCCGCTCACCTCGATGCAAACCCCGACTATGTACTACTAAATCTGACCACTCTTCCCTCATTGACCTCAAAATGTTCTAGAATGTGGAGGGTGAGGTTTTTTCCCCGGTTCTAGAACAATTTAAGCAGAGTCATAGCGGTTTTCACAGTCCTACCAACCTCAGTACAAGATTAATTTGCTGTGAACTTGGCCAGACTTCTCTATTTTTTATACACTCTTTTGTAGATTTTGAAAAGTCAAAATCTGACTACTCTTTCTTGAGTGACGTCCAACTACTTCCTCCACATTCTAGAACACTTTTCAACTGTTTTAGGAAATTTCGAATTTGGAGGAACTTGATTCGATTCCGAAATCTCAGCTGTCAGTCGAGTTTTCATAGCCTACTCTAGTGAACGCTCCTTCTACTATTGAAATTTCTCCTTATCTTTTCTTAATTTTAACATAAAATTCATTCCTCAAGCCCCCTGTAAGCGTGATCTCATCTTCTAGGTTAGGGTCATCACCGACGGCTAATTCGGAAGATTCTTGAGTAGATTGTAACTATGCTCTAAGCAATTAATTCTACTTGAAGCTCCCGTTATTGTGGCAAGAGATAGCCGGCAAACCTCCCAAGAATGATGTACCTACTTCTCTTTCAAAGTTTTTTGAATGTTTTCCAGAAGAGGCTTTCAGCAAATACAGTGCGGTTATCAGCCTTTTTTATAATAATTGATGAAAGCTCAACACAGGGCTCAATGAGAGCGAAGGACAGAATCAGTTGTATGAAAAACGGCCGATTACTGCGGGCCTCAGTTTTCTGCCTACGGGGCTAATTTCAAAAAATAAGATGCGGAAAAGGAAAGGGATTTAATAAAAAAAAACACTCCGTTTGTTCTGTTCTCGTCTTCCTAAGGGTTGTATTTGCTTAGCGTGATATATTATGGATTTTATCAATCGATATATATAATAATGTAATAACTAATTTGTATAAACAACAACATGATCAATTTTTGATCAAAACTTCGTTTGAAATTAGGTTAATGAAGCAGTTGGGCTTACCTCACTACTATCAATGCGACAAAACTTTTGGAAGATGTTAACCTCATCTAGGGAGGGAGTTACACGAATACACGACATTTTTCATCTGATAGCGAATTAGTCGATTCAACGTTGTGCATCAAACAGCTGTTATTTTCATCTACCAACACATTCAGATGACATACAATCGTCATCTCGTAATATCATATAGGAGCTATTTGAACAGAAGAGGAAATTTGTAAGAAAAAATTAAGCAAACAACAGTGCAGAAATTCTCATTGTTCGACGGTCTCGCTATTTCACCTCGACTTCCACTTCTGGATGAGACGGGGTCAAGCGGACCGACCAAAAAAAGGGTCCGCATTCACCTGTCTCACAATAACTTATGCAATATGTACACTCACTTTCTCGTTTGTACATATAAACTGTCAGGGTTCTCCGATTTGCTTGCCATTCTACCGATGACTACATGTACTCAGGAATCGATAAATCCTTTCCCTTCAAAGTGATAGGGATTTGGGGGACATTTGCGCATGTATTTACTGCAGAATAGTGAACGCATGTTATCATCGGCGAATAGTTCGATGGAACGCCAGGAAGAACTACTTAGACAGAGAGAAATTCAAGGTTAGCCCAGTCAATCAATGCGCGTGACTCTATCAGAGACACATTGCGACAGGTTCAATCGACGCCGAAGGCTAGTCTCAAACAAAAATTGAGTCGAAACAAATCGAAAAAGGAAAAAATGAAAGAGTATCGAGAATACTAGATTTACGACCATAGTGATGACCATAGCGATTTAGAGATGGGAACACAAAAAAAATATACCGTACTCAAGAATTACTACTAATAGATACAAGAATGTCAAGACTGTTTCGCCGAAAAGTAACTTCAAACATTTTAACAGACACCAATACAACTAAATAACGCATGCGAATCGGTCCAGAGAGAACTCAAAAAAAAAGAGGATTTGCCTGACACTCACAAGGATTCTTCTGTAGAAGGTGGTAAGTCTACTAAGTCTACGAGAAAGCAATAACTCGACGAGAATCGATTGAATATACTCGTGCAAATTTAGAAAGTAACTGGGAAGAGAAAAGTGATTTCACTTAGACGAATAAGTCGATATGAACAAAGAGCACCGCAATTTATGAATATTCAATGCGATAGCGTATTGTAATATTGGCGCTAGGAAGGAAAACGTGCGGAAGATACTAGAATGGAACGAATGGAGGGCGACCAAGGGAGAGCGGCAGACTTATGGAGAGTGGTTACACTAGAGTGATTACAAGAACATGCCATCTACCAATTGTCACAGGAACTGTTATTGATAAAGAGATTTCATACGTCGATCGCGAATATTTGCTCTGTAGTATAGAAAAATTACAATCTAAGGACTACTCCAGCGTCAGAGGGAAGCTAAAAGATATCTTAAAGACGTCTATCCACAGGAAAAAGTGCTGAATAGTAAATGAACAGAGAAAACTAGACCTTGAGCTGAGTTTATGTTATGAAGTTCCATCAACTTTTTCAGTGGATAGGAAAGAATTTCCGGTGTCTTTGCTACTCCACTATATTCCCGCAATAACAGTACCCTGCGACGATGCGACCTACCCGGATGTTTTTCAGGGATTTATTATACTACTGACGGTGACACTAAAGACAAAGAACTTTAACTGTAAATGTTCTACATGGTTAGCAATCACAGGAAAGGTAGCAGTCAAATGATTGAAGAATCTAATTATGTGTACGACGACGATCCCCTCTTCACATTGTCTCACCGTCCTAGGCGACTTTCTAGATTGAGCCACGCCCTAAAGTGGTTGCTTATCCCACGATAAAGGGGTGAGCGGTCAACCTCGAACAATGAGTGGCAAAGGCGAGACTCTGGTTTACTTGTCCGAGCAACTCCGTTGTTAATGCTTTTGCTGCTTTCGAAATCTTCTATGTGAATAAATGAAACTAGAACCTCCGGGGCCCCCCCAACATTTTTGACACACTGATAGAGAAGTTCTTTTTGGAGCTGATAACTAGAGAATCATACGGAATCACAAAACTTCAAGAGGATCCACAAAGGAATCGAACATGGTTTTATCTTTTCTTAAATCTTAAATTCCCTAATTTGTACGAATTGAAACATAAAAAAATTAAATTGCCTCATTCCCACAGAAAACCAACCAGTTTTAGCGCAAACACGCTAGACTTATGAAGTCAGTAAGAGGCTCTAAGGGTGATCAACCAGATTAGCTCTCAGAAGATGAAGAAACGCACGAATAGTATAAGCTATTGTGACGCTTCTTTTTTGTCCTTAGCGTCTGCCCTACTCAGGAGCGGGTCCGCTTCCCTGACGCATTGAGGCCACTTTTACCGACTTAATGCTTGTTCGTGATGGAGCAACTACTACTTTCAAATCCTCATGCGAGGTGTCAAAGAAGTGCTATTTTGGCCTTTCTTTTTATGTAACGACTTAATCAACTTTGTAGGCGCTTTTCTTCAGAATGT